TCCAACTGTTTATTTACCGTTTACAGATCTCGGTAAACTAAACGGAAACGGTACATAAACCATTTAAAACTGTTTAAAACTGTTTTAAATGGTAGGCTCGTGGGAATTTTTCTTTCTATAAGCCTGAGCTGTTCATGGAGTTGAACTGAATCCCGGTATGCAGTCTCTGAGGTTGGTTCATTACCTGCCATAAACATTCCAAATCGTCAGTTGGAACCGGATCATATTCACAATTTGAACCAAAGAGTTGTGTAAGTTGTGTTTCCTGGGAGAATTTGAGTGTTGAAAGGAGTGATAGAAATGCAAAGATACCACCCAGGCAAAGTGCAATAATGTTTTTTCTACGACTGAGACTGTGGCAGCGGGAGCGGCATGGTATCAAATTCAAGCTCCGCTCCACTGCCGCATGTTACCGCCCGGATCCCAGGCCTTGAGTATATTTCCAGGTCATGCATGACTTGCGCGTAGGGTTGAATACTGGCAGAATTGAACCTCCCAACATTCACATGAATGTGAGGACTGCCCTATATCACTCTGAAAATTACCTGGCTACCGACAACCGTTTACCATTTATTTACCGTTTACTTACCATTTGCACCTATCCGTAAACTAGACGGTAAATTTAAACGCTTAAACGGTAAATAAACAGAAGAAAACGGAAATGGTTGGAGCCCTATCTCCCACCATGGCTGAGGTACTGGGAATCGTTGAGCTGGTCTCAGTCTTCTGGGTACTGCACTGAAGGTCAAACAAGTCATTCAAGATGCACATAAAGCACCACAGGAACAGCAGAAACTACTGGCAGAGATGGAGGATCTCAAACTACTTCTGGATGAGCTCCGTCGCCACATCATTGCTAATCCATCTGCGGGTGTTCTTCGGCAGATGGCGGGTCCATTGACAAACTTGTGCAAGGATGTGCAAGACCTCACCGAAAGGTTGCAACCGGGGAAAGGATCAATTGGAAAGTTCAAAAGAAGAGTAGCATGGCCAATGAGCAACAAAAAGAAGACAGATGAGGATGTCAAAAAGCTTGAGCAATTCAAAAGTCTGATTAATTCTTGGTTGATACTGGATTTCTGGTATGTTATGTTCATTCTTGTGCAAGTTTTGTTCTGATTTTATTGCCTTCAGGGTTCAAGTGGATGGTGATTGCCAGGATTTTTTTTTGTTCATTCAGATGTTGAACACTTTTCAGCTGCTAAACGGAATGCCATAATTGAATGGTTGTCCCCCATCAATTTCTTTGTTCGACAACAGGACATTTCCAAGAATCAACAGCCAGGAACCGGTGAATGGTTTCTCAATGACCCCAAGTTCAAGCAGCGGAAATCAAGCACCGGAGCAGTTCTGTGGTGCTCCGGAATACGTGTGTACCATCAGTATATTATCAGTGCCTCAGCCTGAATAATATGTATAGCGGGTGCTGGGAAGACTGTTCTTGGGTAGGTCCCAATTCCACTGACTGAGTTCCGCTCATGTATATCATTGTAGCTCTCTTGTGGTAGACCATCTAAGTGCCCTCCAAAACAAGGATATTGGAGTAGCATGCATCTACTTCAACCACAAGGAGACTCAGGTCCAAACCCCAGACAATCTGCTTGCCGGACTTTGGAGACAGCTTATCCCAAACCAACCTCTTGGTTCTGCACATCAGTTGTATCAGGAACATGCTGAGCGTAGGACAAGGCCTTTATATAAAGACATACACAAACTTTTGTCTTTGGCACTTCTTAGGTTCACGCAGGTTTACATTATTCTTGACGGTGTTGATGAATACCCAGAAAATCAGTGGACTCTACTAGCCCAGGACTTACATGACCTGGAACGTCTCAACCTCTTTGTCCTGTCACGTCCCCATATTTCTCCACCTCAGCTGCTTTCAAATCCTGTAACACTTGAGATATTGGCAAGCCAGAGGGACATAGAGACATATGTAGAGGCGCAAATCCAGCTGTCTGCTCGCCTGTTGCAGCATGTGAATAGGGAAACAGGGTTGAAGGAGGAAATTTGTTCAAAAATCAGTAATACCGTTGGTGGAATGTAAGCACTGTATTCATTGGAGAAAATTGTTTGACCAATTACCCTATCAGGTTCTTACTTGCCAAGCTTCATCTTGATGCTTTACGCACAGCAACAAATATAAAAGAAGTTCAGCAAGCTTCACATGATTTACCGAAAGACTTGAACCAAACATATAAAAATACTATGGACCGCATCAATACTCTGCCACCAAATGAAAGTGAACTTGCACGATCAGCACTTATCTGGGTTGTCAATGCAAAAAGACCTTTGACCAGTGTTGAACTATGTGAAGCTCTAGCCATTGAGCCAGGAACAAAAGGATTGAACAAAAACAATATCACTGATATTGCTATCATCCTTTCTGTCTGTGCTGGTCTGGTAATCATGGAAGAACATAGTTCTTTGGTCCGACTTGTCCACTTTACTACCCAGAAATATCTCGATGAAATCCAAACTAGCGACCTTGCAAATCCACATGTCAAAATCACACAGAGCTTGCTAACATATATGCAATTTGAGCAATTCTCGCACAAAGAAGTCATTCCCGAGGACAATAGGCCACCTCTTCTTGAATATTGCCAGTACTGTTTGGTACATGCTCAAATGTGCGAAGAGCAGTTGAGAGATACCATTATAGAGTTTCTGAAAGAGGCCAAGACATACCGGGAACAGTGGTACCGGTATCCATGGGAGTGGCAGTCTTCTCCATGGACCTTTAATTCTTGGCCTCGCTCTCCCTCATCTTTATGGATTGCAGCCTCGGTAAATATGGTGAAGACAGCAAGTTATCTCTTGGAATATGCTGCAGAATATGCTGACAGTGAAGTGCTGGCTGTTGCAGCATATTATGGCTACTGGGAGATATGTCAGCTCCTCCTTGACAACGGTTCAGATGTGAATTTGCGTGGAGGGGATGATAAAACTGCACTCTACATAGCAGCTGAGAGCGGCCATTCCAACATTGTTCAGATCCTTCTTGACAAAGGTGCAAATGTGAATGCACAGGGAGGGGAATTTGGAAATGCACTCCAGGCAGCAGGCTATAGAGGCCACTCCAAGATCGTTCAGATCCTTCTTGACAAAGGGGCAGATGTGCATGCACAGGGAGGAGAATTTGGAAATGTGCTCCAGGCAGCAGCTGTCGGAGGCCATCTTGAGATTGTCCAGATCCTTCTTGACAAAGGGACAGATGTGAATGCACAGGGAGGAAAATATGGAAATGCACTCCAGGCCGCAGCTGAGGAAGGCCATCTCGAGATTGTTCAGATCCTTCTTGACAAAGGGGCAGATGTGAATGCACAGGGAGGAGAATATGCAAATGCCCTCCACGCAGCAGCATTGGGAGGCCATTCTAACATTGTTCAGATCCTTCTTGACAACAGGGCAGATGTGAATGCACAGGGAGGGTACTATGGAAATGCACTCCAGGCAGCAGCGTGGGGAGGCTATCTCGATATTGTTCAAATCCTTCTGGACAAAGGGGCAGATGTGCATGCACAAGGAGGTCACTATGGAAATGCACTCCAGGCAGCAGCTGTGGGAGGCCATTCCGAGATTGTTCAGATCCTTCTTAGCAAAGGGGCAGATGTGAATGCACAGGGAGGGTTTTTTGGAAATGCACTCCAAGCAGCAGCTGACGGAGGCCATTCCAAGATTGTTCAGATCCTTCTTGACAATGGGGCAGATGAACATGCACATGGAGGGCACTTTGGAAGTGCACTTCAAGCAGCAGCTGTAGAAGGCCATCCCAAGATTGTTCAAATCCTTCTTGGCAAAGGTGCCGATGTGAATGCACAGGGAGGGATCTATGGAAATGCACTCCACGCAGCAGGTTACATAGGCCACTCCGAGATTGTTCAGTTCCTCCTTGACAAAAGGGCAGATGTGCATGCACAGGGAGTGTACTTTGGAAAGGCACTTCAGGCAGCAGCCTACTGTGGCCATTCCGAGATTGTTGAGATCCTTCTTGACAGAGGTGCAGATGTGAATGCACAGGGCGGGTTCTATGGAAATGCCCTCCAGGCAGCAGCTGCTCAAGGCCGTTCCACAATTGTTCAAATCCTTCTTGAGAACGGTGCAGATGTGAATCCACAAGGAGGTGAATTTGGAAATGCACTCCAGGCAGCAACTGCAAGAGGCCATTCCAACATTGTTCAGATCCTTCTTGACAATGGTGCAGAGATGACTCCACAGGATGGCAATGAGCCCAATGCGGCCACTGAGGAACTGGTTGAATAATAGCTGTTTACATAGAATCTTAGCATATTTCAAGTCAAGTGTATAAAATCCAACATCCAACATCGTGGTTTGATCCTACGGCGTCATACTAACTATGTAGAAAGCAGGTGTAGTCGGCTGTTCCTCCTCACTGACATCCACTGCCTATTTGAGTATCTCTGCTACCCGGACAATCAGGTGTTTCATGATTACTGACCTCAACTCAGCCTCCTACCTCACGGTCCTTGTGATGTTCATCACACTGGTTGAACAATTCTAGTTTTTCACACAGTTTTCTCAGTGGTAACAAGAGCGCTGCGGGGCACTCTGCACCCCACTGCTTTGCTTCGAATTTCAGGGATCATAATGATGTCAGTCTGGAAGAAGCTGTACAAGCTGTTGAGACCCGAAAGTCGAAAACAAGGCTGTTAAGTTTCATGTGCACGGTAAGTCTCGGCAAGCCTCGGCATACTCGGGTATTACGAAGCCGAAATGTTTTCGGTGTGGTGCCGCCGCAACACATGATCCCATCAGCGGAGCCTAAAAGGCCTCGCACACGCATGCACATAATTTTGTAAAGAGGGAGAATGCTGTTTGTTTCACACAAGTTTCACATCTATTTCTCCCCTGAAACACAACTCTCTGTAAATCTTTCTATCCATGTGCCAAAATTCACCTCAATTTGACTCGTTGTACCCTCCGACCGCCAGTGCAGTGGTACTGTACACCACCTACCTAAATAGGAGATGTATCCTGATGCCTTTGTGGCTTAACTGCCAGAGCTTCCTCTCATCCTAGCTTCAAAATTTTAAGAGGAAGCCCTGAGTTCGACTCCCATCGAGGGCGTGACCTTTTCCATGTCTCCTTTTTTGTTCGTTTTTCTTTCCTAATTTTTCTACGTATTTATATATATACTTATTATCGCATCTCACCTTAGGCTTGGTCTCGCCCTGGCTTTCCGCAGTGTTGTGTCCAAGAAAAATATCGACGTTCGTGGTGAGCTGTGTGTGTTCATTTAGAATAAGTACGACGAAGGTACATGCCCTCGTAGCTCAACGGCCAGAGCCTCCTCTCATCCTTAGGTGAGTTGCAGACAATTATAGGGAAGACGTGGGTTCACCTCCCATTGAGGGCATCCGCTTTGATTCACTTTTTTTTTTGCATTTCTCTCTCGTATGTACCCAAAGTAATGTTGCTACTTTTTTTGTTCGAGAATATCATCTTCTCTTCACGCGCGGTGAAACGGGCAGCTGCGCCTGGCTATGAAACTCGCTAGGATATGCCTAGGGAATGCGCACTAAATGCAACAAACCACTAACACACACAACTAACACAACTTCACTTTATACTCCCAAGAACTGGCGCACTCCTTGGTTGAGTTCGGGTCCGAGCCGTAGTATGCGACTACTGGTTTTGGATTCCTAGGGGCAAACGAAAAGGTATCGATTTCTGTTCTGCTACTGACACTGGTCCTACTCTCTGGTCTGTTCTTTGGTACTACCACAATCCTTGACTCGAAACGCTGCACACCGACTGGTGATTTGTGAACGGGTTTGGGGGGGGGGTAGGGTACTAGGGTTACCGAAGTAGCTCCTAGGCAAAGTTTGTAAAGTTTCCGTCTGAAAATCCCAATAGGGCTATGCTGCTTCCACAAGTACTGCCTCTCAACAAGACTAGGCCAGATAACCGCCTTGCTGGACTCGCGTTTCCTGTACTAACGCAAGAACGTTTCCGTACGCTTTGGCTTTTTGGGGCCTAGGGACAACTAGCTCTGTTCACTGCGATCTACCGGTTCAATCTTCCACTGCGCTCAACCAAAGCGTTCTACCTAGCTAGCGCCTAACTTGGTGTTTAGGTCGAAACTAGCGCAGCCTCTGCGTTGCCAATGCGAAGTAACCGCGCAGCCAATGCAACGGATAAGTCTTCCTTCCTAGCGCGTGTGGCCCTCGTAGATTTTATACGTGGAGCAACGAACCGCCTCTTGTTCCAACGCGAAACTTAGTTGTTTATACTTGCACTGGTTCTCAGAGATATTCAACTTGAAATGTCACTCCGAAAAT